CAGTGAGAATACGCATACAAGGACAGCATGTGGAGACAAGCGATAACAGAAACTCCCGATAACGTCCATACTTCGTTCCATACAGAAAAGACTAATCCTCATATCAGCAGGCTTACTCGGAACCTACTCTTAAGATTTTGATGGTTACTTGCTTTCTGACCTATAATTCTTCATCCCTCCCCGCCCTCCATTACCGGTACCTACTGCGAGCGCGAAACCAAAAGAGCAAACCACCTCCAGGCCCAAGTTCAAAGGAATAAGCATGTGGAAAGTATAAACATTCTCCCAAAAGCAAAACATATACTCATGATCATCTCATTCTTCTTTTCTTTTCCTCTTTATCCTTCATCTGCTGCAACGATAGGTGAGAATGAGGAACAATCCAGTCGAGAACTCGAATCAAATCTTATGAATCTGTGAGACTGAACTTGTTGGAAGCTAACTGATTGACTTTATCCTTGTAGTCACTCTAATCCAGCGACTGACTTTCTGCGCCTCTGATTCGCTTACCTTGATATGTACCTCCTTTCAGCAGATCCCCAATAGCTCCGGCGACTTGGGGGACTACTACTTTACATGGTTTGTAATCGGGCTTCGACCAGCTTGAAAAATCACAAGTTAAGCTTCAAGTGAATATGACCTAACAATCCTACACCCTTGTCATCACTCTACCAGTTTAACAATACACACCCCCTGAGATGACAGGAAAGAGTAATTCCCAAAAGAAGCAACTGAAAAACTCCTCAACCATATAAGACAGAATAACGGCAGTGAGAACGCATACACCCCCCACCACTTCAACAAAACAAAGGACTTAAGAAGTTTCGTGTTACACACAGAAGATCAAGTCTCCCTACAATAATTTCCTAAATGTTCATTTGTTACTACAACAATCATCTCACTCTATTACTACACTAAATGAAGCTTGAACACTATGATAATTATGATCAAACCCTTCCAATTATTGAGAACCTATCTACCCTTGTGGCGTAGCAATTGGTGCACCAGTTACATCTTGTGTTTGCTCCTGTCCTATACCATTTACCAAATATTCTCCATTCTACACTAATGACTTAGAGACCAATCTTAGCGAAGATCAACAAACTTAAATCCTTACTGGTTCCTGTTGTGGCTCATATTCACCAGACTGAATAATTCCTTGGTGTATGCTATTTCTCCAAACCGACCTATTAGTGTGATGATGAAAACTCAGGCAAGGGGCTAAATGCGAAGACTTAAACCTTTGGAAGGAAGTGATTGGAATCTAAAGGTCTTCGCCTAAGACCGAATAAAACAGCAAATATATGGAGTGCAAAGTTCTATTTGCACATATGGAAGGCCAACTGAGTTTAGGCGTCGAGATCGGAGATCAGAGGAAATACCAATGAACGCCGACCACGTTTTCGCTACTTAGGATCTATACTTGCTACAAGACGGAGAAATTAGATAGAGACTCTCAACCATAGAATACAGCTGGACCTGGATGAAGTGGGGAGAGTGCATCGGCGTGTGTGTGACCGTCGTACGGCATTGAAGGCGCGAGCGCTTCGGTTGAAACCTCTCCTACTAGTCGGAATCGTCGTTCGAAACCACCCTCAACCACCCACGGGGAATGCACAGTATCTCCGGTTATCACCCCGTCTTCGTTTCCACTTGTAGCGCGGGATCGAGGAATTGCATTCGTTGGATGTCGGGGCACACGAGAAAGGATAAGATTAGGAATAATGGCATATTCGACGGTAATAAGCGTAGCCAAAATTGCAAGAGAAACCACACCGGATTCCTGAGGAATCGGTATACGTGTGGTCACCATTGGACCACATGCGCAAAGAGCCTCAACTGACGCCTACCAGCGTTCCGCAAGAATGTAACTAACGGGATATAGAGGACTCATTCAGGGCCCACAAGGGTAGGCGAGACACAGCATAGGAAACATTTTGGAGACCTAAGAAAAGACCACCTTAACAGTACATTGATCATCAACGCGAGGACATGACACACAAACCCGAACGCCCAATGGCATTCTAGGATTAAACTATTCAAGCCCGAACCCCCACTTCAAGTGGGTCAACAAAGCATTTGTTAGTTTGTTGTCATGTTTGTTGGTAGTGTGAGAGCCATAATATGGGTTATTGGCATTTGGGTTGTGAAGTTCTGACACAACACTTTTTTGATACCAACTCCCCATCTTGGTTGTAGTGGCATATCTGGAGCTGAGCTTTACCTGCTCCCGGAGAACGTACCTTAAATCCAGTTACCACCTTGCTTGTTGGGAACCTCGTTAACATTTGGCATGTCTTTCATATTTTGCTCTATTCCGCTTCAACTTTGACTATATTTCATGATTGTGTTAGCTTAGAGTTTGATTTCTTAAGGTTTGGCACCTGCTATCTTACACGCAGCCAAACATCTAATACTGCCAAGCTAGAAGGCTCTCACCTCTAACACCATCCGCCTTCCACCCCAGAGCATCGCCTACCACAGCAAACCACAGACACCACAACAAAAACCAACCCGGACCCCCAAAACTGACAACCGCCAACACCATCTCACCAGATGCCCCACCACACCCACCACCACCCCCACACCACACCCCCGAAGCCCACCACACACACACAGCCACCCGACCCAAACAACCAGACAACACACCACCAAAAACAACCGAAACACACGCCACACACAACCACCACCACGCAACCCACACGCCCGACACCCAAGCCCACCCCCACCAACAAACACCCCACAACCAACAAAAAAACCCCAACCACCACCCAACAACACCAAACCCCACCCCCACACCCCAACAACACCACGACCCGACACCATCTCACACGAACAAGCCCGCCGCCCAGCACCGCCACCACCCCACCACCACCCTCCAAAACACCAAAACGCCCCCGAACCACCACACCCACCACCCCACACCACCCCCCCCCGCGCACAACCACAGTCAAGATTCCCATCCGAATGCAAACCCCGTCTGTACAATGGTTCAGACCCAACAGCCTCAACCAGAGGTTACCTACCAAGAGCACGGTCTGGGGATTAGGCACCACGGTCCTCGATGAATCATAGCCTCCCTACCACTCTCCAAGAGGAGGCACTGTTTCTGTAACTCGGATTCTAATGCAGTATCTATCATTAGTTCATAACTTTCTTGTGCCTCAAGATTTTTTGTTCCTTTTTTTCTTCTGTGACCATAGTTTTGGTTTGAGGTGGCCATTACTTGTTTCTTCTGGCATCACGAGATCATATGACATATGCTATCAGAAATACTGGATATAAATTGATATGTTTATCTCGCCAGGCGGCAACCGTTCCACTACACGTTCTCAATTACTGTTCACCGTTTCGGACCCCTCTTCTTGAATGTAAATTGTACAGCTGGGCTTTGGGAGAGTCATCTCTCACTAATGCTTCACGTGTGATGTCTTGTTTTGATGTACTTGAATGCTTGAAACTGATATCAAAGCTCAGTCTGTGAAGTGTACGTGAGAGCAACTTACAGGATTATCAGACTGTGGCGCTCCATTCAATAATGCATTATAATGTGTGTGTGTGTGCATTATTGGAGAGAACGTCATGTGGCGTTAACCTGTTTCATATAAGTAAATATATTGGTGTATGTCAACAGCTATGCAAATACTCAAATGGGGTTGTGCGAACCTTGTGGATATAGATGCGTTGTAGGCTTGTTCCCACATTTGGCCGCATGTTTGGTGCTAGTATGGGATTCTATTGGATTATTCATTAGATTTGAGGTTTCTTGAAGTGAAAAATTAACGTATGACGTTCAAATTTTTTTCAAGTTGAAGGAATTAGATGTTTTAAGGTGATAAATTCGTACTGCTTTGTGGGATTGAAAATGTTATATTTCTTTCATTAACTAATCTGTTTTTAATTATAACATAAACAAAATTTAAAAGCTGGCATATTCATTTCTTCGCTGAAGTTTCAACATACAATATGGGTTGAATCTAATTAGTGATCTTGTACTACTCTCTCCTAGTCTAGAAGGACTACTCTGTTGGAGAAAATCTTTAGTGGTACAGCCTGATCTCATCACATGTAAAGCAACTTATACGAGTGTGAGATTAGATTAATATAAATCGAGATAAAACAAAATTGAAGTGATATTCGCATGTTTGTGAAAACTATCATACCAATGACATGATCATTTTGTTGCCATATTAAAGATCTTCTCATTTAAAAACCTAGCTCTGGGTAAACTGTTTTAGGTTAGAAAACATTTTTAAAATGAAGGAAAAAGGTTTTTTCGAATCTCAAAAGTGGTATGTAATTCTGTAAACAGCTTTCCTTCAATTATTGGCATTCCAAAAGCTAAGAAAAAGAAAAAAGAAAAAAAAAACTATTTCATCTTTTTCAACTTATAAAATGGAAAATTGACTTCTTCTAAAAGAACATTTTGCATTTTCTTGATCGATGGTCACATCAATTTTCATGACATTGAGAGATTTTTTAATGTGATCGGAATACAGAGTAATACACCACGTGTTATTATAAAAATTGTGGGATATATATGTTAATAAATTAATAATTTAAAAAATAAAATTTTCATCATTAAAATAAAAATACGTTATGTATCATTCATGTTTCGATCATAATGAAATTTTTTTTCCGATCGACATAATTTGATATTGCCCTTTTCAGTCATGAGTCAAACATAATTAGTGGGCCACAACCTAATAGTCTCCATATATTCATGCAAAATTACGTGGATGAAAAAAAACAATTCAATTGTCCTATTAATAGCGGTTTAACAAATGATAAATGATAAAAGAGCGACCCAAGCACACTCGACTCTTTGCTTTGCGAGAGTCCAAGAAAATTTATGGTACGCAACCTTAATTTATTATGCAAAGAGGTTTTCATAAATCGAACATGTAACATTTGAGTCATAAAGTGATAACTTTTTTGTTGCACAAAGACCTTGAAGAAGGTTAGAGTAACATGATAAAATCAATTGATAATATGTGAAATAATCCAACTTACTTGTAAGTCCATATAAACCTCTCCTTCTAACAATGTAGGATTCATTCTCAACAGACATAATCTCTAACAAAAAATATGATATCTTTACTAAATAGGTTTAAACAACAACAACAAAATTCAAACTTAAAAGTACACTTCTTGACGAACTTGGCTGAACTCAAATTGACCGTAATTAAGTGCAGTAAACACACCAATACAATATAATACAAACACCTTCGCAATCTAATGTTTAAGCTAGCAAGTTTTTAGTGGCTTGCCACATAAGCAATCGTTGTAACTAAAAGACGACGCCTCGAGGTGATCGAACGGCGGCCCGGCCGGAATCCGCCCGCAGAGGTGGTTGTGGCTCAAATCCAAGTGCCCGATATACGAAGCCGAAATGATAGATTTCGGGATAGCTCCCCTCAACTTATTGAACGCTAAATCGATCGCCGTGAAGTAGGATCTAGGCCCAAAAACATCCGGTATCAGGCCCGAGAGAGAGTTTTGGCTCAAGTTCAAGTTACTAATGGCCGATACAATCAAACTTGGCGGTATACGACCCGATATATTGTTGCAATCGAGATTTAGCGTCGCAAGAACCGCCATTTTGCCAATCGTAGCGGGAATCGGACCCGAAAGCTTGTTCAAGGAAAGATCCAGATCCGCGAGCCGGTAAATTTGGGAGATCGAACTCGGAATTGTACCCGTGATCAAGTTTCGGCTCAGCAAAGCCCGGCTCAGCATCCCAAGTCGGCCGAAATCTTGGGGCAACTCGCCCGAAATTTTGTTGTTTCGGAGGTCCAGGTGCATGAGGCTGGAGAGGTTGGTGAGCGATGCCGGAATTGGGCCAGAAATGAGATTATCGGCGACGTTGAGGACCGTGAGACGGTGGAGCCGGCCGATTCCTGACGGAATCTCACCGGAAATTTTGTTTCCGATGAGGTCGAGGATTCGGAGGAAAGGGAGCGTAGTAATGCATTTTGGAATCTCACCCGTAATTCCCTTCCAGTCGGCGATGGTGACGCTGGAGAGACGGGTGAGGCGGCAGATGGCAGGGGAGATCGTACCGGTCATGTACCCTGTCCGGTGGGTCTTCTCATAAATCGGGTCTTCGGACTCGCCCCGGAGGTTTATGTCAGCAACACGGCGGGACTGCGGGTCGCAGCTGATGCCTTTCCAGTTGTGGCAGCAGTTGGTGCCGACCCATGAGTTAAAGATCCCGTGCTTTGACTCGTGGAGCGCCGACTTGAACGCCATCAGGGCTGCCAGGTCTGAAGGCTGACAGCCCTGGACGGCCCATGTAACGGCGAAGAGCGTAGCGGCCACCGCCGTTACGTAAAGACGCAGAGCTCCCATTTTTCGAAAGGATTGAAAACTTTTTGTTTACAAAAGTGTGTGGTTTTGTGTTTGAGAGTTACATATATAAGTGAAGAAGTGGAGATGTATGTTGAGCAGTGTGATGTCAGGTTTCGGAACTTGATGTTGGGAAGAGGAGATGGGCGTGGGTTCACTGAGTTTCAGTAGGTTTATATATAAGATGAGGGAGACTATTTTTTGTGACGGTTTTGCCCCTACCGTGGGTTTTTCAGGGTTTATTAGCTTGGATTGACTTGGATGATGGGTGATTGAACTTTCAAGACTTGGAGTATATATGACAAGAGTATCATTTTCATTTCATATGCTTCCTGGAATTTTCATTGTATTATTGCCACTTCACAGGATTGATTCACGCAACATATTATAGTAGTGTATAAGTTAGAAGATTTGGAGAGTTCATGCTCACAAACTATGGATTAAAATAGTTGATACAGTTTTAAGTTGCGGATTGCCTCGTTGAATTAGAGTCGTTCTTTTTCTTTCAAATATTTTTCCCTCTTTTTAGTAAGTGCAAAATGATTTTTCAAAGTCCAAACGACAACTTTCTTTATTTTAGGCAATGAGAAAAAACTTACTTTTTGAGTATAAGGTCAAGGTAAAGTTTAAATATGTACAAAAATCCTAAATATACGTATGAGGTAATTGGATTGTATTTCTATTTTATTAATATGATCGATTTAGGAGAAGAGCAGAAAGGGTTAGATTGAAATTTGAGTATTAAGGTGGGGCTTAAAAATAATAATTGAAATATGAGATATATACAGCTCAAAAACATGGGAGCATATGAGATACATACAGCTCAAAAACATGGGAGCTTATGGGATCAGGTGGGGGAAGAAGATAAGCATTGGGGGTGTGTGTATGTGGCTAAATTTGGCTGGGAGGACGTTGAGAGTTGGAGCACGTGGCAGCTTGAGGTCCATAGATTAAATCATTTTACAGGTTTTAGAGAGGGAGAATGTTAGGGTTGTTCATAAATTTTCTGTCAGGATATTAAGGCCATGTATGATGTATCTGCATAAAATAAGGTCTGACTTTGAGTTAGTATCATCGAATCGGTTGGCCGTATGGAACAAAACAAATAAAGTAATTGTCGTCGAAGAGGAAGAGACTTTCTTTTTTTTTTTTTTCTTTTTTTTGATACAAGTGATTGTGAGAGGAAAAAACTCGAACTCGGGACCTCATTTGTAAAAATAATACTCTTTATCAATTGAATTACATGCAGAAAAGAAAGAAGTTAAACACCAAGAACTTGAGAAGATCTCTCCAACTCTAACCATATACATATTTAGTCTTGCTATTAGATTCCACACTAATAAGGCAGACAATGTAAGTTAGGAGATGACAAGTTTCACCGAGCAAACATTTCATAGAGTCAAAACTATAGACAAAACTTGGGTAAATTATATAGTAGCCCTTTAGGTTTAAGGTCTATTATAACCTCATATAACATTTTTAAAACATTTCACTTTCATACATCTCGTACTATTTTATTTCAAAATAATACCTCCGTTATATTTTCCATCCATTGATCCATTAAGTGCTGAAATGGCTGCCACATTTGTGCCACGTGGCTGCCAAATGTGTGCTGCATGGCAAAAATAATAATTTTTAATTTTTTTTTAAAAAAAAAGCTAAATCTTCTAAATTAAAAATAAAAAAATAAAAAAAACTAAAACCTTATCCCCCTCTTCCTCCTATCTTATCCCCGCAATCCCCAAACCCAGAAACCTCTCATCTCTTCTCCCCATCTTCATCTTCTCCCCCCTGCAACCCAGAAAAAAAAATAGCCCTTCAATTCATCTTCCCCACCCCTCATCCTCCTCATCATGCCGTCTCCCCCATCTTTATCTTCTTCCCCCTGCAACCCAAAAAAAAAAAAAAAAAGATCCCGTCATCACCCGGTTCGTGAGGTGGGAGGAATGGGTGTGGATTTAAGGAGTGGGGGTGTATAGAGGAGGGAAGAGGGTGGGTGTAGAGGAAGGGATGTGGGTTTCTAGGTAAGGTGGGTCGCAGGAGGGGGTTCTGCGGGTGAGGAAGCGTCCCGGGGGGTTTTGCGGGTGAGGGGGGGTCGCGCGGGGGGGTGGTTTTTCTGGGTGAGGTGGGTCGCCCAGGGGGGATGGATTTTCTTTCTGGGCTTCTGGTTTGGGGGGTACACGGGGGTCGGTGATTTCTCACAGCTTTTGGTTTTTTTTTCAAAAAAAATTAAAAAATTATTTTGCCACGTGGCACAAATGTGGCAGCTACGTCAGCACTTAACGGATTAATGGATGGAAAATGTAATGGAGGTATTATTTTGAAATAAAATAGTACATAAGGTATGAAAGTGAAATGTTTTAAAGATGTTGTATAGGGTTGTAATAGACCTTAAACCTGAGGGGCTACTATATAATTTACCCATAGAACTATGACAAAAAAACAACCGTTAGATAGAACTAAAAGGGAAAACAAGAAAAAGGAATGTATATATATATATATATATATGGTTTAATGTCAGTTTACTACCTTGAAGTTTCGTGGTTTTCAACATTTGGTACATGAAGTTTTTTTCATCCCAGAATCATACCTCAAGTCTTAATTTTGGGACAGTTTCATACATCTGTTAAGTTTTCCGTTAGAACTTCTATTAACTGATGACATGGCACCCACGTGAACAATAATTGAGCGCCATGTGTCAATATGGGCCCACTTCAATATTTAAAAAAAAATACAAAAACACAAAAAAAAAAAAACAAAAACAAAAATCCCCACCAGTCTTCTACCTCTCCCAACCCCCTCCCTTCCTTCTTCCCTCTGCAACCCGCACCTTCTCCCCCAAAACCAGTCTCCCCCAAGCTCATTCCAACCACCAAAACCAATCTCCCCCAACCTTCATTCTTTCCCTTTGCAACCCGCACCCTTTCTCCCAACCTTCCTTCACCACCAAAACTAGTCTCCGCCAACCCGCACCCTCTCTTCCTTCTTCCCTTAGATCCAAAACAAAACGTAAACAATACGAAGAAAATGCAACCAAGTTCCAAAACAAAACAAAATGCAACCAAGTTCGGAACTTGCAAAACACACCGAAAACCCAATCACGAAAACTAAAAACCCCCCTTTTGCAATCCCATTATCTAATTTTTCAGACCATCCAAACAAAAACCTAGAAGCAAAAAACAAAGAATCGAATAAAGTAAGCTTTTTTCTCTTTACTGAAGTGAGAGTATGAGTCGAAGTAATAGTCAGAGCTGGTCTTGCCATCGGCTTCGACAAAGGAGACCTCCGGCTCGCCCATGGAGTCATCGACGACCTTGTCGAGCTTAGGGTCGCACATGGACTCGTCAGGGTTGGAGCTCTCGGGGACGTCTTTTACAGAAGGAATAAGGAAGGTTGGAGCTCTCGAGGTCGCACATGGACTCGTCGGGGTTAGATCTGAGGGAAGAAGGAATGGAGGGTGCGGGTTGGGGAAGACTGGTTTTGGTGGTTGGAGTGAGCTTGGGGGAAACTGGTTTTGGGGGAGAGGGTGCGAGTTGCAGAGGGAAGAAGGAAATGAGGGGGTTGGGGGAGGTAGAAGACGGGTGGGGAATATTTTTTTATTTTTATGTGTTTTTGTATTTTTTTAATTTTTAAATATTGCAGTGGGCCCATATTGACACATGGTGCTCAGTTATTGTCCACGTAAGTGCCACGTCATCAATTAACAGAAGTTATAACGAAAAACTTAACGAATGTATGAAACTATCCCAAAATTAAGACTTGAGGTATGACTTTGGGATGAAAAAAATTTCATGTACCAAATATTGAAAATCACAAAATTTCAAGATAGTAAACTGAGATTAACCCTATATATATATATCCGCCCAATCAATCTATTTTTGTACTTGATTGGATGAGCACTTCCCTTTTTTGTCATTGTCTTTGCAATCATGCTTAGATGATTATGACAGTAGATGAATATCGACTTTGACACTATTCTTTTAACCATTTGCACTTAAGATGAAATATTATACGGATATTTTTTTTTTTACATTTGGATAAAAAAATGCAGAAAGCTGAAAAACGAGTGTCAAAACCGCTAGCCGAGACTATTGAAAGTGCAATGTAAGGTTTCTTCCCATTGTTTCTTGTGTTCTATTAATTGTGATGAAGAAAAAACATGTTGAGTGTTTGATCAAATTCAATGAATTTTTTAGTGCTATTATGCTTGAGTTAGGAGAAGGTTAATTAATTGTCCAAATTTTGGGTTTCGAAAATGTGAATGATAGCTACGTCTTTTTGGATTGTCCCTACCAGTACCTGAATCTTTGTCTCCCCAATTAGGATCACCAATTTTGGTTTTTTTCAGAGTGGTCAATTATAATAAATGACCAATAATTACAAGATAATTTATAGAGGAAATTTTCCCATATGGCTTTCAATTAGGGTTTATGTATCATTGGATGGTCCAAATGCCCTATCATCAAACAGTAGAAACAGGCCGATGCTAAGATTGGAGATCATGTTCTGTGGACCATCGCTTGATCTTGCATGTGGATGAGGATGATCGTCATGTGAGGACAAGCAGTCACCACTGGTCCATGTTAGGAGGATTTCAAACAAATGAAAAGTTATGTCGATTGGATTTGGGAAAGATTTGAAAAGCATGCATATCTCCAGTTAGATTTTCATGATTTTGATTTATTCTACTGCTTGGATTACTTCACTATATGTCTTATATAGTTTAACTGATTTTAAATATTCATGTTCTTCATGCACATTTTAAGCACCATACAGTTATATGATCGTAACGAGACTTCTTGTTTTAGTGGTAGAACACTTGCTCTAAATAATTAATTATACGCAACTTCTAAATTTACTGGCAGAGTACTTGTCTCTCTCTTCCCTTAAAACTGAATCAAAAGAGAAAAACATATCTATATATGTATGATTGGTAATCGTTTTAACAATTCGACGCTATAGCTGCTTGTTTTTCTTGTTCCAAGAATTTTGATTTTTCAGCTGCTGAATTCTGCCGCTATTTTTAGGCTGGTTACAAGCTTTTCTGTCTAATTTTCTTGAGCTCACTTTAGTTATCCCAAAAATTATATTTATATAGTAATATTTTGGTTACACCTCGGAACATGCCGATTTAGGGTTACAAGTTCATAGGAATTATAACACATGT